CATAAGCTGTAATACAATATTACATAACTGTAATACAATATGGTCCCCAAAGATACTGCATGCAGTTGCAATATCTGTCACAAATTGATTTTTATGCTTCTCCGTCCCATTAAAGATTGTTATTTTGGATTATTTTTCCCCAGGTGTATTAGGTTGCATTTCTCCAATCTGAATCTCATTTTGTTGTTTTATACCCATGTGTCTAACCTCTCTACAAGTCTGATCCAAAGATCATTGAAGTCAACCAGTTTTTCCATTGACTTCAATGAGTTTTGGATCAACCTTAAGTGAGTCAACAAGTACAGTATCCTCCCTTTAGCAGTATCTTAGATTTCATAGGATGGCTCATAGTGCACCTTCCCACATGTGCAGTAATGAGGAGCGGAAGGAAGACCCATGAAGACTAACGATAAAGAGCAGGTAATGGAATATTTATAAAATTCAATCATAAAATATCAGCCAGTCTTGATTATCTGCATTGTTGAGTATTAATGGGATCAGCAAATGAACTGATTATACAGTTTTGAAAAATCTTGACAAATGGGGAGGTACTGAAAGACTGGATGAAAGTAAATGTAATAGCAGTGTTCAAAAAATGAAAGGATCCCTTAAATTTAATATTTATTCTTATGAGAATTATGGAACAAATATTAAGAGGAAAAAAACCTGAGCATTGTCAATAAACAGCTGGAGTTATAAAGCACAGATATTGCAAATCAAAAGGGGTCAATTGTGGCTTTGCACAAGCCCCACATATGGGCCCGTGCATTGTGTTACCCTACAAGCACATCAGGAAGCAGACTGTGACTGAGGAAGTCAAAATGGCCAAGACTCGAGATCCTCTAAGTATTTAACTGCCTGATTCCAATTGATTTCAATGGGAGTTAGGCATCTAATTACCTTTGAGGATATTGGCCAATGTGCCTACTAGTCCCCTCAGCTCCAGGTGGGGGGCCGGGGGACATACCCTGCCCCAGCTTTATACCTATACATCCCCCAACACTAAGCAGTGGTGCTAAGGTTGCTTATTCCCCATCTCTTCCTGCCCACGTGTGCAGAGGGAAGGTATAGCAGCCCCTTGAAAAGGAGAAGCTGATGCAGGGAAGCAAGGGAGTACTTTTTGCTCCCTTACTCCCTTTTGCAGGATGGGCCACAATCTGGCCTAAACTTTGATGCCTTTGTTTTGATAGTATTGTTACCCCTTTTGACATGAGTGGTTGGCCAAAGTTTGGGGCCCTGCAGGTTTTTTCCACTAGGATGGGCTCAGGTATTTCTCTGATGTAATCCAGTTTATTTACAAAGTATGTACAAAGTCATGTTTCCCAGACACAGCAGGAATCAAACAACAGCTTTGCTCACAGCTTCAAGATTCTTTTTGGCAGCACCCACCTTGAAAACTCTTTCTAGGCTTTTCTCAGGGCCACACACTGTGCTTGTCTGGACTCTGGAGCTTCCTTGCTGCCTTCTCTCTGCTTCTCTGGTGTTTCTCACTGTTCCCTTCTCTCTCCCACACACATAACTCCACCAAACAATACCCAACAAGAACCCTCTGCCCACATCATTCTAATTCCTGAGCAGACTCACATGTGTGTGCTTGTGTTCTGGTTTGAGGCCCCTATTGTTTCTAACATTTATTCTGAATGAAGGACTGCTGCTTCGTGCATCAGTTTCAATGATGTTCTGCCCAGCCCACAAGAGTATTAGGCCTGGTGTAGGCTTACAACTTAGGCCAACACAACTACAGTGCTCAGGGATGTGAAAAACCCATCACCTAACCCTCAATGTAGACGCAGTTAGGTGGATGGAAGAAAGCTTCCATTGTCCTACCTACCTTCGTTCAGGAAGGTTGAGTTCCTACAACGATGGAAAAATCCCTTCCATCGCTGCAGTTTGCATTTATGCTATGGGGTTACCGAGGCATAGCTATGGCACTGTAGCTATGTATGGCCTGGTCTACACTAAAAAGTTACATTGACCTAACTACGTACCTCAGGGATATGAAAAATCCACACCCTGAGCGACGTAGTTAAGCCGACTTAAACCCTAGTGTAGACAGCGCTAGGTCAACAGAAGAATTCTGTCAACCCAGCCTACCACCTCTCAGGGAAGTTGATTACCTATGCTGACGAGAGAACCCCTCCCATTGGTGTAGGGGGTAGTGTCAACACTGAAGCACTGCAGCTGTGCTGTTTCAAGTGTAGACAAGCTCTAGGCCACTAAAGCACCCATAATGTAGACATGGCCTTATTTAGGGCCAGATTCTGTTCACACCATGAGTAAGGGTAAGTACCAGACTCTGCAAGTAGTAGAAATGATTTCAGTGGGCCTATCACACAGCATGAATAAGGGTGGTGGAACCTCCAGACCCAAAGGGCTAGATTGTACTTTATGACACAGTCCTGGGCGAGGGTCAGTGCATAAACTGCATGACTCCAGAAGCAGCCTCAGGAGGAAAGGTGATTCCGAGATATCTCTTGGAAGCACCACTTTCTCTTGGTTCCCCTCTTGCACAAGAGTAGTAATCTACTGGTAGCCTATGCCAGAAGCCTTAGCCCTCCCTGGCTCAGATGTGCTGGCCAGCACATGGGGAGGCAGACTCAAGGCTCCAATATTCCCTATTCTTCTCTGCCCACTCACTCCAAAGAATGAGTGAACGGGCACCACAGCACCTGTTTACTTTTGCACACTTAAGTTCCAGGTAGCTTCTGCAGGGTGAAAGGGGAGTCTCCCCCTCATGCCCCTGTGCTAGTGCATACTTCAAGTCACAATCTAGCCCAGGGGTAGGCAACCTATGGCACATGTGCCGAAGGCGGCACGCGAGCTGATTTTCAGTGGCACTCACACTGCCCGGGTCCTGGCCACCAGTCTGGGGGCCTCTGCATTTTAATTTAATTTTAAATGAAGCTTCTTAAACATTTTAAAAACCTTATTTACTTTACATACAACAATAGTTTAGTTATATATTATAGACTTATAGAAAGAGACCTTCTAAAAACATTAAGATGTATTATTGGCATGTGAAACCTTAAATCAGAGTGAATAAACGAAGACTCGGCACACCACTTCTGAAAGGTTGCCGACCCCTCTAGCCCATAGTTAGTGGATGAAGAAGATGCACTAATATTTGACTTTTACTAAAGCATGTGATACTGTCTTATGAATCACTCTTGAAATTACTTCAAATTGGCTTGAATAGGAACTCTGTCATGTGGACTGAAAACTGGCTGAAGGACCATAAACAAAGGGTAATAGCAATGTATTGAGCTATGGGGAGGATTTTAACAAGTCAGTGTTGGGTCCAGTCTTATTTAATACCCTCATTAATGATCTGGAGGAGAGAGTAAAGAAAATGATGTCACAGATGACACTGAGGTGGAAGGAACTGTGAATACCAGTGATCGCAGAGAAAATAATGAAAAGGAACCTAAGGTCTGAATCAAACCCCACTTAATCCACCTTGACATTGACTTCAGTGGCCTTTGGGTCAGGCCCTTAAAGAGGGTAAATATATAGAAATAAACCAACAACATGAGATTAAATTTAAAAAAAAAATGCAGACTAACACACCTGGGGAATAATAATCCAAAACCCTATCTAAAAGGAAGAAAAAAGTTGGAAAAAAGATAGAAGATAAAAGCAAATTAGATACAAGTTTGCAAAAGGACACAGCTGTAGAAAGGCCAGTAAAAATGCACAGGGTAATCATTTCACAGCAAGGTAAGCTACAGCTCTAATGTGATCATACCTGAAATAAAGTATTTTTTTGAAGAACAAATTACCAAGAAGATATTGACAAAACTGGAGGAAATTTAGAGAAATCAACAAAAATGACTAGGGAGCTGGAGGGATTGGTTCATAAGAAGAGGCATAAAGAAATAAGGTTATTCCATGGCCACTAAGAGAGAACTAAGGGGGATACGTGTAGAAGTAATGGGATGAAATTAGGAAAGAGAAAAATTATGCTGAAAGACTTTGCGAGAGTCTCTTAACAGAAGTCCGGGAAGCCACATTGTTCCGGACACTTAAAATTAGACTGTCCAATACAAAATGTAAGGTAGGCAAAAATCCCTCACTGAAGGACTATGTACTGGATATTTATCATCTATTTCTAAGACTGCATCACGGTGGAAACGTTTCCCTGATTTTCACCCACGATAATCCGGGGACTAATAAGGCATTCAGTCCTTGAGAAGGAAGCATGGGCCAATGGTTTGCTCCATACTCAGGAGACCTCTGATTTGCACGGGCTCCCTGGTGCAAGTCACGTAGCCCCTCTGTGCCCGGGTTCCCCATCTATTAAGCGAGATTAGTGACACTGGAAGGCGCTCAGCTGACGGGGGGCCATGCACGTACCTAAGGCAGCACTGGGCTCTCCTGGGTTGCGACAGCCCGGGGGCTCTCCGCACTGCCCGCCAGCAGGGCGTGTCCCGGGAAGCACCCACCCGCCAACAATGGTATCAGCGCGGGACGGGCTCCTCCAGACAGGGCTTTGGGGAGGACCCCCGCCTTTGCGAGAGGGGCTGCCCGGGGTTTATCTACAGCAGGGCTGGGGGGGAGGGGAGGAGCTCGGCACTCGCCAGGGCCTGGCGCTGATAACACGTCGCGGGCGCAGGGCGGGGCTCGCAACACCGCTGCGAGCTGGGCCCGGCTCCGCACCCCCACAGGCTGAGGGGGAAGCCGCGGCCCGACCGGGCACTCAGACCAGCCTGGCGCTAGGGACGCTGGGGTCCGGCGCCCTCTGACCCACGAGCTGCGAAAAAAGCCCCATGAGGGGGAGGCTGGTTCCAGCTTGAGGGACTGAGCGGGCCCTGGCGCGAGGTGAATTTAACGTCACTATTGGCAGGCTACTCGCCCAACCAGCAGCTCTTCCCGCCCTTTACTTGTAGGCGGGATTTCCGCTTGGCGGTCGCCTTGTTGCCGGAAATCTGAGTAACATCACTTCCGGAGAGTAGAGCCAGTTGCTAGGCTGCTAGTCGGACCCTTTGTAGCTTCCGGTCTAATCGTGTGTGCGCGGGAGTCTCTTCCGGGTTTGCGGGCACCATGAGCACTATGTTCGCCGATACTGTCCTCATCGTCTTCATCTCGGTGTGCACGGCGCTGCTGGCCGAGGGTAAGCGGGGTCGCGGCCTGCGCTGGGGTGGCCGGGCTGCCGGGCGGTCTCCTTGGCCCCCGGCGTGTTCCAGTAGGGAGAGGGCGCCGGCCAGGCGTAACCCGGTGAGCAGCCTCCGAGCCAGCCCCTTCCCGGTTCAGGAGCAGGCAGGCTGCGAGTGGGGCTCCGGGCGCTCAGAGGGGAGGGGCTCCTCTCTGGTCACCCAAAGAGCCTATAGTGGGGCTCCGGCCTGGGTCCCCGAGCGCGATAGCCCTGAGGCCAAGGGCCAGGCCTGGCTCTGCCACAGCGACCGTGGGTGACTCTGTGCCCCAGTTCGCCATTATCTGTGCAATGGGGGCAATAGCCCTTCGCGGGCGGTTGTGAGGAGAAATGCATTACAGGTTTTTAAGGGCTCTGGTGATGGGGACTGTGTACATATCGTGGCTGGACAGAGTGAAAATGACTCTACAGCCTCAGTTGTGTGTATCGGTTTCTATAGATTTCTGAGGTAAATAACTTTCAGCAATAAAAGTGCTGGGAGATATGAGGTCTGCTTCTCACAGAGGTGTCTGTGCCATTCAGTGCATCTAATGCTTCCTTGACAAAGACAGCCCTCTGCTTACTGTATGTTGCTGTTTTCTGGGTTTCTTTCTCCTTGTTAAGGTACCCAAATCTAAATATTGCAGCAGCCCTGGGGCAGTTGCAATAGAGCTGTATAGAAAGTCATTGTCCCCTTATTTTATCTGATGCTTGTTTCAGGTATAACATGGGTGCTGGTTTACAGAACAGAGAAATACAAGAGACTGAAAGCTGAAGTGGAAAAACAAAGCAAAAAATGTAAGTGTTGCCTTTCAAACACCATACATACTATGGCTGTTCTTGTCTTCTCATTGTTTTCTGCTCCAGGATTTTTCAAAGTAGGGTCTGCTCTTGGCAAGAGGTGCCTGCTGTTTGTTCCCGAGGGTCCCTACCTCACCATAGAATACTTGGGAGCTATAAACATGACTACTGCCATTCTGGTCTGAGGGAGCCAGCCCCTAGCTTTATCCTTTTTTGTCCTTCACTGGAAGGAGAAGGGTTAGTACTGAGACCTGTCCTGATGTTAATTCCACCCCCTACCTAACTTCCACTGAAGAATGGGGGGAACAGAGATGAGTGTAAGCCTCTCTTTCCTTAGCACGGTTAGCCAGTGGTTATGTATATAGATTCCACCAGCTGCACTGAGGTGAGCTTAGGGATCCTGCCTGTGCTCTTTGAGAGGGACTCCAGATCTGGGGAGGAAAGAGCAGGAGGCGTTACTGAAAAGAGGAAGAATCGTGGTTAGCTGAATGGTATGAGAGACTATGGAGGAATAGATAAGGAGTGAGATTAAAGGTGCCAGAGGAGAATGAGGGAGGATGATTTTTGTGGTAGGAGGGGAAAAAGTGAGGGAAGAAAGAAGACCTTATACATACACATACAGAAGTTGCATGAGTTTAAACTGTTTTTTAAACTGATTGCACCAGTTTAAGTACAACCTCTCTATATAAAATGATCCTGAAATGACTTGGAGAAGGGTGGAGGGAGTACAATGCAGTAAAAAGAGCAAAGAAAATGAAGGATGGAGATAGAGGGAAGAAGATAGAGAGGTGGAGGAAGAGTTGGAAGATCTATGGTATAAGGTAAAAGTGGAGCGCAAAAGCATCAATAGAAATAAGTGAAGTAAGGGATTTAAGCAAGTGACAGCTAGACAGAAGATCGGCTTGGCTTCTGTCTCCCTCTCTCCTGAGCCTTCAGGAGAAGACCAGTTGGAATCATAGAGTCATAGAAGATTAGGATTGGAAGAGACCTCAGGAGGTCATGTAGTCCAATCCCCTGCTCAAAGCAGGACCAACCCAACTAAATCATCCCACCCAGGGCTTTGTCAAGGTGGGCCTTAAAAACCTCTAAGGATGGAGATACCACCACCTCCCTAGGTAACCCATTCCAGGGCTTCACCACCCTCCTAGTGAAATAGTGTTTCCTAACACCCAACCGAGACCTCCCCCACTGCAACTTGAGACCATTGTTCCTTGTTCTGTCATCTGCCACCACTGAGAACAGCTGAGCTCCATCCTCTTTGGAACCCCCCTTTAGGTAGTTGAAGGCTGCTATCAAATCCCCCCTCACTCTTCTTTTCTGCAGACTAAACAAGCCCAGTTTCCTCAGCCTCTCCTTGTAAGTCATGTGCCCCAGCCCCTCCACTCAACTCTCTCCAATTTGTCCACATCCTTTCTGTAGTGGGGGGCCCAAAACTGGACGCAGTCCTCCAGATGTGGCCTCACCAGTGCCGAATAGAGGGGAATAATCACTTCCCTCTATCTGCTGGCAATGCTCCTACTAATGCAGCCCAATATGCCGTTAGCCTTCTTGGCAACAAGGGCACACTGCTGACTCATATCCAGCTTCTCTTCCACTGTAATCCCCAGGTCCTTTTCTGCAGAACTGCTGCTTAGCCAGTCAGTCCCCAGCCTGTAGCAGTGCATGGGATTCTTCCATCCTAAGTGCAGGACTCTGCACTTGTCTTTGTTGAACCTCATCAGATTCCTTTTGGCCCAATCCTCCAATTTGTCTAGGTCACTCTGGACCCTACCCCTACCCTCCAGCGTATCTACCTCTCCCGCCCCCAGCTTAGTGTCATCTGCAAACTTGCTGAGGGTGCAATCCATCATCCAGATCATTAATAAAGATGTTGAACAAAACCGGTCCCAGGGCCAACCCCTGGGGCACTCCACTTGATACCGGCTGCCAATAAGACATTGAACCATTGATCGCTACCCGTTGAGCCCGACAATCTAGCCAGCTTCCTATCCACCTTATAGTCCATTCATCCAATCCATACTTTTTCCTGGCATATAAGACAGCGCAGAGTAGCTAAGTCTAAAACCTACTAGTATAAGTTATGAAAGCAACTGAAACCCCAGCAGAGGGTTTAGAGCAGGAGTGGGCAAACATTTTGGCCTGAGGACCACATCGGGGTATGGAAATTGTATGGCGGCCCATGAATGCTCACGAAATTGGGAGTAGGGGTGAGGGCTCCGGCTGGGGGTGCAGGCTCTGGAGTGGGGCCAGAAATGAGGAGTTCATGGTGCGGGCTGGGGCAGGGGGTTGGGTTGGAGGGGGGGTGAGGGCTCTGGCTGTGGGTGCAGGCTCTGGGGTGGGGCTGGGGATGAGGAGTTTGGGGTGTAGGAGGATGCTCCAGGCTGGGACCGAGGAATTCGGAGGCCAAGAGGGGGATCAGGGCTGGGGTACTGTGTGTGTGTGTCAGGGTTCTGGCTGGGGGTGCAGGCTCTGGGCTGGGGCTTGGGCTGCAGGAGGGTGCTCTGGGCTGGGACCAAGGGGTTTGGGAGGTGGGAGGAGGATCAGGGCTGGGCCTTGGGGGGGTGGGGTAGGCTCTCGGGTGCAGGCTCTGGGCGGTGCTTACCTCAAGCAGCTCCAGGAAGCATGTCACCCCTCCTGCTCCTATGCAGAGGCACAGCCAGCCCAATGGGAGCTGCGGGGGTGGCGCCTGCGGATGGGACAGAGTGCAAAGCCGCCTGGCCGTGCCTCCTCATGCTACATAGGAGCTGGCGAGGGGTCATGCCGGCTGCTTCCCGGAAGCCCCGCGGAGTGGGGCAAGCCCCCGACCCCGTTCCTTGGCTGGAGCGCCGGAGTGGAGCAAGCCCCCAACCCTGCTCCCCAGCGGGAGCTGAGGGCTGGATTAAAAGGTCTGATGGGCCGGATGTGGCCCGCGGGCCCTAGTTTGCCCACCCCGGGTTTAGAGTTAATGTGCTACTCGTTTGGGTGCTGTAGAACTTATAAGCAGCTGGTATAGATTAATCTCTGCTGTTTAATGATTGCTGTAGAGCAGGGGTGGCCAACCTGTGGCTCTGGAGCCACATGCGGCTCCTCAGAAGTTAATATGTGGCTCCTTGTATAGGCACCGACGCCGGGGCTGGAGCTACAGGCGCCAACTTTCCAATATGCCGGGGGGACTTCACTGCTCAACCTCTGGCTCTGCTACAGGCCCTGACCCCATTCCATCCCTTCCTGCCCCCTCCCCTGAGAGTGCCCTGCCCTCGCTCCTCCCCCTCCCCACCCCAGAGCCTCCTGCGCAACATGAAACAGTTGATCAGGAGGTGCAGCGAGGGAAGGGGAGGCGCAGATTGGTGGGGCTGCCGGTGGGCGGGAGATGCTGGGAGTGGGGGGAGAGGGGTGTGTGGAGCTGATGCGGGGCTGCTGACATGTTACTGTGGCTCTTTGGCAATGTACGTTGGTAAATTCTGGCTTCTTCTCAGGCTCAGGTTGGCCACCCCTGCTGTAGAGACTTTACTCTGATTATTTTGTAATTCCTCCTATCTCTGGTTTGTGTTTCCATGAAGAGCCAGATGTGAGGTGCATACACCAGTAATAATTGCTAACGTTAATGCTTGTGAGTTCGAGCTTGAGTGGCAGAGTTGAGAATAACAAATATTAGCTACAATTTCAGATTTGATTAGCATTTATTAATCATAATTTATCCACATATCCGTTTTAAAAGGAGCACTTATCTGTCCTTTGACAATTCTTAAATATACAACTGTAAAATAGACCACTCCTGCCACGCCTTTCAACCATTTGTCAATGTACCCACAGCAACAACCAATAAAACAGCACAAAAAAACCCCCCACCATGGATAAGATCACTAGGCTCCTCTGCCAGAGCCTTGCCATTCTATCACAGCTACAGAAAACAAATGGGTCTTGAAAGTGAATAAACTAGGGCTGTTAGACTGGGGGAGTGTTTATAATTTAATCTCTCAACAAAAACATACTCGTGGTATATGGCACAGCCATGTCTCAAAACTCAGTGAGCCTGAAAGTTTCAGGATAGATGTCTGATTGTTATCTGGCAATGGAAGAAGTTGCAAGACTGAAGCGTGGTTATAGTGAGAATAAAAATGATGTTGTGCCACTTTATTTACCCCTAGTGACCTTTCTGAGCAAACTTGCTCAGTTTATGTCACCCTTGCATAATCCTACTGGCCTGCTTGCTTGCGGTGTGTGATTTAGTTTATGGATAAGTAAACTTCACCAATAACATTTCATCAGCAGCATTGTGGTAAAAGCAGATGAGTAGGTTTGTGCCTGGGCTGTTCATTTTTTGACAATTGTGCAAGGTTGGCTTATGAGTCATAAGAATTTTATCTGTTAGCACCACTTATTCTCCTGTGATCTGGAAATTTAGCTGTAGTCTTTCTGTCTTGGTTATCACCAGGATTAAAATTTCTGCCATTAAAACTGAACTGATATATTAATATGTGAGACAGAAGTCTTCAGCGCCGACACTATGGGACAACAGGAGTGAAAATGGGTTTGTTGGTAAAGTAGATATACAGATGTGCCGTTGAAAAAAGGCGATCAATATCACTTATCTTATCATAACCGTACTTTAACATTTATCATCCCATTTTCGTATTGTGATATTGGCTATGTAAACCTGAAACTAAAACTTGGCTTTCACTTTCTGGGAATGTCAATCAAATTTCTCTGCTATTGGAGGTGATTCCATTTGCAGATTGAAAAGTATAGTTGCTGGATCACAGTCTCAACTGATCAGCACTCTGGCTTGTGACTATCTGGCTTTGCTTGGAGCAATCTGTGGAGTGTCTACTGTCTGGATTGGTTGTGTTACTTGGTTTTCTGGTAGCTTTGATAACTAAGTTTAGACTTGTTACTTAATTTTTAACTTCAAAATATTGGAAATATTTCAGCCCTAATTGGATGACCAGCAAGAATGGAGCTGGCTGTGCGAGACCGCTGGCGCAGCACTTGCACTGAGAATGCCTGCCTGTGAAGAAGGGATATAACAGAACACAGGCCTTTCTGTGTTCTGCTTCCCACTGCAGATAGCTAGGATCAGAGTTTCCCATAAAGCTTGTTTCATCACACTTGTTGAATTGAAAGTACTGTCTAGAATTCATAATGACAAATCAGCAAGGTCTGTTTAAACCAAAATGATACTCAAGCTCCTTGGTTCACAGTGTAATGGGCTCCTTTGGCAGGCTTTAAAAGTCTGGCTTTTGACAGGGATTGAAATTGTTCTTTTCCTCATCTAGGATCAGGGCCTGGAAAATATTCCTGGGCTTGTAAACATTTGTATCAGTCCAGCTCTGGCAGGTTATAAGACATTGAACATATATCATAGACATATATCTGTATCTTGCTTCCTTCCTCCTCCTCCTGTCTGCATGAGGGTTTTGGGTGTAAGGGAGAGGAAAAGAGAAGGGATTAGTAGCATAACTCTTCATTGTTTGTGTGAAAGTGATTCTATATTGTCTTTGCCCTTTGTAGTGGAAAAGAAGAAGGAAACGATAACTGAATCAGCAGGCCGACAGCAAAAAAAGAAAATAGGTAAGATTTGGGGAGGGGGGAGGTGTGATGCTCCAAAAGTGAGCGGGGGGCTGTGAGAAGAAGCTGCTGGAGATGACTTTCCCTTTCCTTCCACCCCCCATCCCCCCTTAAAACTTTAACACTTTATTTGGGGATGGGAGGAGACTTTGTTCTTGATGGGATGGCTAGAATGTGACTTTCTCTTCTTCCCTGTGGACTGTTGGAGCCTATTTCAAGGGAACTAGCCTCTTCCCTTCTAGATTGACTTTAGGCAAACCCAGTGGCACTGGGATTCCAATGCCCGCTGCTGCATAAGCGGGACTGGTCACATGGACCCAGACCAAGTAGTCTTTTAGCCTTAACTGTTCCCAGATGTTATCCCTGAGAGCTCATTGCTGCAATGCTTTATCGCCATGCAATAACTGTGGGACTATCGGAATACATGTTAGCGTTTGTGGTCCCAGATTGGATGAAACCTGTCTTTTTAGAGGTTAGATTTTTCATTTTTTCCTCATAGCATGACTGTAGGATGGAGTGAAGGGTGTATGGGTGTCGTAACGGCATCTTTATATCTAAATGTGGTCAGATTTCTTTCAAACTTGGCCTCAGCTGCGTTTGTAGCATTTGTTTTGGGGATAATTACAACATTCCTTTAATGTGTCTTTTCCTTTAAGTTACTGATGTATACTCCTTAACTCCAGTTCAACATAATGTTTTGTCTGGGGATATGTGAGAGAAAATGTGTTTAGAATGGCCACATTACTCTCAAATGTTAAAGCCATGAGTGAGTGATGCAGAGCAACCAGTTGAATTGTTACAGAAAATTTATCAGTAACATCCTAGACAGATACAAAACTTATTGGGACTGTATTTTCATTCCTCTTCCTGTAAAACCAGGTGTCTTCCTTATAATAAGTTCTGTATAAGGCCCAGAATAGCTATAATGATTTAAAATAGCTTTTCCTACATATAAACCTGGTGATCTCTGGACTTCTCCTAGGTGCAGAGCTTTAATTCCTTTCCTTTTCACGTGTGCATTATGATACAGGCCTTAATTACACAAGCACATCTCTTTCCCACAGAATCAGTGGGAAATTCAGTGCATAGGATGGAAGGTGCTTAGTGAAAGAGGAAGCTTTTTGCTATTCCTTCTTATCCTCATTATTCAGTGTGGACTCATACTTTATTTACAGCTAACTATCCAAATCCTACTGTGACCAAGGAATGTCTTATTTCCCTTTGGACTTCTCACCTATTCATCACTTGAGTATGAGTGCCTCACTAGCACTAATGAAGTTATTTTTACAATGCCCTTTTGAGCTAGTGAAGTGTTAACTGGAGTCATAAAGCAAGCCTGGGAAATTCTAGCCTAAATGGTTTGTTTGATAAAGTTATAAGTGGGCTTGGAAGGATTAGATATTTATTGGTAAATGTTTGTAAATGTCAATTTCATTGTACACACAAACTGAAAAAATATTTCCATCTATGATTGAAGTTTAGATCGGCAAAGTAAGAAAAATGCTTCTTGAGACCTTTTATTAGAGTCAAAATCCACCGATTTAGACTTTTGAATTAGGCTTCTTACAAATGGACTTGTGAATGAATAATAAAAAGAGAGATCGTTTGTGGATTCAAGGATATTTATTTTGTATATTTTCACATGTGATGTTGACTGTGTTAATGGTTATAAAGAATTAACTTTTTGAATCTGTGTCTAGTCATAATTGTCTGACCCCCCCCCACCCCCCAACTGAACATTTAAATGGTTAAATCTAAAAAGCTTAAAAATAAACATCAATATTGTCTGTCAAAATTATTTTTTAAAATTTGAATATTGTTATTTCTAGTTATGAGAAACAGGGAGGGGCGGGTGAGAAGAGTTACTATTGCTTCACCAAACACTTCCCATTGTAACCCTCTATATTCAGCTGCTTATAACTTTGGTGTTTGAAGGACTCTCCTGGTGCTACTCACAGCAACAGTGCTTTAGGGCCCATCTGTTGTGTTGATATCCCAATATAGAGATGCTGGACTCCCAGAAACCTTGCACTGCCACAGACTACTTCCCCAGGCCTCACTCACATTCCCTTTCCAATATCTCTTGTGGTTTTCCACATTCCTATTCAACCCCATATCTGTGGCTTTTCCAGGCTGCCTCTGGATCTTTAGCCACTGAGAGGATCAGGACTGGCGAGATGGGGCAGTGGAAATAGCAGATGGAACATGACTGTTCCATTGGCTGACCTTGACATAGCACAAAACAGCTCTCCTGAATAAGGGAAATAAAAATAACTTTTTAAAAAAAAAATTTGAAGTGGCCTTTGCATGAGATGTGTGAAACTTGGAGTTTGTGGTGACTGAAATGGCAGGGGCAACGCAGCGCAATGTTTCCAAAAGGAGTATCCTAAAGTGTTCTGTTCAGAAAGCTAGTATACATATTTTACTTAAATATTGCATAGAAAATCCAATCTTTGTATGAATGGTTCCTTAGGCTTTTGAAGTGTGAAACAGTAGGATTTTTGTCCTACTTTAAGTGCAGCTTTGGTGATCTGACCTTGGAATCCCTACAGACACCTCTGTAATGAAGTATGAGTTAACATATGTAGTGCATTTGCTTACAGCAGTGGTTTTCAAACTTTTTTTCTGGTGACCCAGTTGAAGAAAATTGTTGATGCCTGCGACCCAACGGAGCTGGGGACGAGAGGTTTGGGGTGTGGGAGGGGCTCAGGGCCGGTGCAGAGGTGAGGGCTGCAGGGTGAGGCTGAGGATGAGGGGTTTAGGGTGCACGAGGGGGCTCCAGATTTGGGGGGGGCTCAGGGCTAGGGCAGGGGGTTGGGCTGTGGGAGGGGATCAGCATTCTGGGCTGGGGTGCAGGCTCTGGGGTGGGGCCAGGAATGAGGGGTTTGGGGTGCAGGAGGGGACTCTGGGTTTGGGGTAGCTCAGGGCTGGGGCAGGAGGCTGGGGTGCAGAAGGGGGTCAGGGCTCTGGGCTGGGGGTGCAGGATTGGGTGGGGCTGGGGATAAGGGGTTTGGTGTGCAGGCAGGGGCTCCGGGTTTGGGGGAGGGGCTCAGGGCTGGGGCAAGGGATTGGGTTGTGGGGCAGGCTCCCCTCTGGCGGCTCCCGGTCAGCGGCGCAGCAGGGGTGCCAAGGCAGGCTTCCTGCCTGTCCTGGCACCGAGGACCGCACTGTGTCCCGGAAGTGGCCAGCAGCAGGTCTGGCTCCTAGGCGGAGGCACAAGCAGCTCCGCGCAGCTCTTGCCCACAGGCACCACCCTCCCCCAGATCCCAGCCAATGAGAGTGCGGAGCTGGTGTTCGGGGGGAGGGAGCAGTGTGTGGAGCCCTGTGGCCTCCCCCGCCTAGGAGCTGGACCTGCTGCTGGGTGCTTCCGGTGCACAGCGCGGTGTCAGAACAGGTAGGGACTAGCCTGCCTTAGCCGGGCAGCACTGCTGATGGGACTTTTAATGGCCCGGTTGGTGGTGCTGACCAGAGCCGCCGTGACCCAGTGCCTTACATTCCGTGACCCAGTACTGGGTCGCAACCCGCAGTTTGAAAACCACTGCCTTACAGTAATAAGATTTGATATGCAAATAACATTCTTAGAACAACACTACTTCCAGAATAAAATATGCTGACAGTACCTGATTTTTACAAGCACTATTTGATTTTCCAGTTGACATGTCCGTATGTCGTCATGCCCATTGTCTGAGTTGTTGTGCATTACCTTTGAATGTTGACAAACCTCATATACTTGTTCTGCTGCATGTTGTTCCGATTCAAGGACAGTTGGCTGTGTGCAGTTTTCACACTGTAATGTCTGGCATACAGAGCTGGAGTCTGTCTTGGAACTATTACTGGCTTGGATAGCAAGGAAGGTTTAGGCTTGAAAGTGAAATCATTCTGGTGTCTGGGTTGGTATAACCTCTATTCTCTTTCCTGCTTTACAGAGAGGCAAGAGGAGAAGCTGAAGAACAACAACAGGGACCTGTCGATGGTAAGAATGTTGTAAATTAGGGGCAATGCCCAAACTAGTGAAGGGCTAGATCTTGAGCTCTCCAGGAGGTGAAGGATCACCCTTAATTTCTATACTCTAAAGCACAGATCGTAGGTGCTCATATTCACATATCTCCATGGGCTGCACTTCTGACATCTGCAAGCTACAGTGTGGCTCTGAGTTCTACACTAGTCGCCCCTTCACTCCACACATAGCTTCATTAATTCTCATTCCCCTCCGCCCCCACAATCTCTCTAGTGCTTCCAAAATAAAAGCAGTTTTCCTGACTTTCCACTTACCCACCCCATCTTCCTAGTGAGCCCACTGCATTTGTTGTTTCCCTTCCGTCCTCACAGTTCCTGTGGACTCCCCTTTCTTTATGAGTGGTCAACCTCTTGGTTAACAGGACAGCCCTGAGCGCTCCCTTTCCTCCATAGGCTCTTCGCCCCTATGATCCCTCTCATGGCTGTTCCAGTACTCGTAGCTATTCAATCCTTCTAAGAGTTTTCTGCCTGGTCTCCTCTCCTACAAGCTGAGAGAGTGAGCTGAAAGATTGCCTTCTTTTCTGATCCTGACGATGATGCACAAAACCCATTATTCAGCATTAAAGCCCTCAAGCCCTAACTGTGGGACTTGCCTTTATTTTTAATCTGTTTGTTTCTCTCTGCATTAGCTGTCAATAATGAATGACTCTGACCTCTCTGGTTGCAGGTTCGAATGAAGTCCATGTTTGCAATTGGCTTTTGCTTTACTGCCCTCATGGGCATGTTCAACTCCATGTAAGTATCAACTCTCTCTGCCCCCCCCCCCCCACCCCGTCCACCCTCCAAGCCTTCAAAGTGAATGTATCCCATTCCCTCTCTCCTTTGCTACTTGGACTCATTCTAATGATGTTCATGGGGTCCCACTGAGAACTGCACCTAATTTGTATAAAATGGATCAAACTGCAGCTTTCCTCCTCTTCGATATGGAGGTGCAGCCTGCGAATCTGCAGGTCACAGCACTCATTGCTTCTGCTCAGCTCAGCATGGAGCATTGCATGCAGGGATTCTCTAGGCTGCACTTTAGCCACAACTGAACATGCTTGCTGTTCTGGAATATATGACCAGGATGAAAGTCTGGCTAATTCAGAATAGCTTTGCAGAGATCAGGCAGCCTTCCACAGTCTTCAGACCTTTCTATCACAGCTGCATCGGCTGCTTCATTGCTTTCTAAAGCAGTAGTCTGGGTTTTGTTTTTTTGTTTTTTTCCAGAAGCTGAGATGCTTAAAGAAAAAAAGATTTTGGAATTGACTAGGGTATTTATATAAGCTCTACTTTTCATATGGTTATATGTCTAAATAATACTGTCAGAATACCCCCAAAAACAAACAAACAAAAAAATGCTGGGGGATTTTTGTCCACAATGATTGTGACAGTAGTCCCATGGTTGGCCTCTGGATTTGTGGATGTCTCAAACTTAACTGGTCATTCAAACAAATCTACCCCGCCCTGCTTATTTGCTCGTGTTGTCACCTTCCCCATCACCAGTAATGCCATCCTCAGTTCCTTATTTGTCCACCTATCCCACAACCATCTTTGTGGTTTCTTCTGTGCAGCCGTTTGTATGGAACACCCTCTCTGAACTGGACCATAAAGACACTTTCCAGTCCCTCCTCAAGTCCCAACTCTGCCATGATGCTTATATGAAACTTAAAGGCTGCATCAAGAGCCACTGAGGGGGATACTTGATGTACTTTGGGAAGGGTGAATGCAGCTTGTCTCAGATGTGCGCTCTTCAGGTTAGGAAATCTCACTATATTTAGACAGTACCTAGTATATTGTGGGTGCTCTGTGATACAAATAATTTATATGAAGGGACACTTCCTGCAGTTGGTGAAGTGAAGCAAAGTCCAGCCCTTTGTATTAGGGTCTGGGCATAAATGCCAGCACTTAAAAATGTTCTGCCGATGACAGTTCTTTGTTGTACTAAGGTCAGTTATAGTGCAGCTTTAGGTGCAGAACCAGTGGGGGTCCCTCCCCACTGAAGAGTCTGCCATTTCGTGTTGTCTTCACAGCAGCAGGCAGACAGGTCTATGCCGCCCCGCTGTAGAGCTTTAACAAAAGCACCCTTCCTTCCATAGTGTCTACTTTGGCCCTAAATTTTCCAGCAGTGCATTTGCAGGACAAAGTATGTGCTTCTTTCCCTGATTGCTGAAGAACACTAGAGGCTGGAGCCCTTGTTCATCCACCGGGAGTTCAGTATGTTGGGCAAAGAGAGAGGCAGAAATATATACTTTGTACCATTCCCCTCACTGAGGCACTCAGTAGGGATCTGCGTCTTTTGAAGGGCCCAGGTTATGCTTACAAGCAGCTCATTCTGGGTGAGGGTTGTTCTGACCCTTATCTCTAGGGAAGGAAAAGTCCCTGGGAGGTGCAGACAAACAAGCACAATTAGAGAAACAGTCAACCATCTGGAACCACCCCCTGCTCCTCCTATACATAGTTGGAAACTGCACTACAAGGCCAGCGTTCTGCATCCACCTGGCAGAAGCAGTTGTGTTCTGTGTGCTTTGCTTTACGGAGGGCCTTGGATTGTGGTCCCAATTCTCTCTCTCTCCTTCTCTCTCTCCCCCACCTCTGTGTGCAGGGGTTCCATGTTTGTCCAGCTGCTAAAACTACTTTTGAAGGTTCTTACAACTATGTATCATTCCATCCTAGAACCTACTGATGCTTGTGATTAAACTTTCATTCTTGGTGGCCATCTTCTCAGTCTCTGGAGTACAGTCTGCTACCGCCAGCTTCCCCTATTAGAAGTTGGGCCTCACTCAGTCTTGACTTTTAAAATTATCTTCTTTTTTTTAAAAAAAAAAAAAGTCTAAATCATGCCATGTTGCTGTCTGTTTTCTAAAACTATCGCAGGAAGGTGAAGCTGCCCATTCTAGATGTCACATCCCAGATGTCCAGAGAGCTCCGTTATTATTTAAACAGGACTAACCCTTTTAGCAAGTCCAAGAGACTCTATGGCACTTAAAGAAAAATCTAAAGGTTTGACAGTTTTGGCTTAATGGCAATCTAAGTGGCTAAGACTGTGCTTCCAGTCTTATGAGCTGGCTAGTGTACCTGTGTGTGAAGGGCAGCTTCAGTGACTTGTGTCAGTGCCATGCCCTCATCTGAAATCTGTAGGGCTGTTCGGGGAGGAGGGAGAGAGCTGGTTGACACCTTCACCAATTGCTGTTCTCTTGATGTGGTATCAAGAAGAGATGTTGGTTGCAGAAGAACAGTGTTCAATCACTGTTTAGCTGGGCTCCTCAGGCCACTTCCTGGGAGGTCATGGCTACCTAGCCACCTACAGAGGTGCTCTGGATTCAGGGTTGGGAAGGAGAAAAGGAGATTGCTTGTGCTTGGAACAAGAGTCAGTGTATTGCTTCATTCACCCACTTCTTTCCCCCCCACTGCTGGAGAGCCCAAGGCCTAAAGTTTTGGGGGAGAGGGACTATAGGTTGTCTGGAGTGAGCATGCTGTGTATACCTTTGGACAATAGAATGTAGGTTGGCCATGTACCCCTTCTGTCAGCTACTGCCTAAAAGCCATGGCCATACAGTTAGGCATATGACTCCTACAGAGAGGCTTTGTACATGCAACATATATATACAGAGAACGGTAACTAGCCCCTTTCTTGCTGTTTGAAAATGGGAGCTGTAATACACGGTACAGGGATGGGAGGGACAGGTGCAGGAAGGCTGGCTTGAACACTAAAAGCAGAATGCCAGGTTGAGGATCTAGCATGAGGATCCTGATTATCCATTCAGGGCAATCTCTTTGTAGGTTGGTGGGATCCAGGCAAAACGTATGTCTGCTAGGGGTAGGGCGATCTGCGAGTGAATACTAGACTGGGATCCAGGCAGATAGGGGTATCTAGTGAGAGAAGTTACCTTGGTTCTCTCTGGACATTAACATCTTACTCATAAGTCCTGATCCATGCTTAAAGCATCAAACCTTACAGAATTCCCTACAAGAGTGTGCCTTAAAACCTAGGTCACCTGCCAGAAGAGAAGGTAGGTACCTCAGGGTATCACCTCTGAGCTAGTCTATGTTCCCACAGTAGGAGTAACGCAGAATCCTAAAACACTGGGGATGTTACAGGGAGACAAACATCCGTTCCTAGCCCTACTGCCAAACTGCCTGTGAGATGTCGGCACATGTTAGAACCATAGCTCTGTGTGAATGCCTCTCCACAGGAAAGAATGCTCATTTAGGAGCTCTTGAAACCAGAAACACCTGTTAGAAAATCAGCACTCAAGGAGAAAATAACATCAAACTCTGAGCATACACTGATGCAGCATGATATGCACACTGCTTCAAAGGGTAGTGTTGGCTGTCTGGTTTCAGAGGCTGAATCTCTTCAGTCTGTCCAAATTCACACCATGTCTCCATCTCTGGAATGTAGTACTGAATGCTTCCCATCTCCTGGAGCTGCACAGGTACCTTGGGGGAATATACAATGTCCCCTGCTTCTGAAGAGCGAATGCAGAGAAGGAGTATTGTATGAAAAGGAATTCTCTTCGTGGCGGTTGCCCACATCCCTTTTGGTAACTGATAAATGTAGCAAATCTGGAGAGAAAAAAAAAGAGTTGGACTTTGTTTTGTCTTCTGAAGCTGAGCACACACCTCTAGTACAAAAATCCATGAGTCTGCATAAAGTAACTGTATTACAACAGGCTGGTAATTCAGTCTCTTGACTCAAGTGTTACAGAACTCTGGGAGAAACCTATGTGTCACTTGGCTTTTAAATAGCAGGTGTCAGTACTTGAGGATGTTGATTAGAAAGTTCTTAGTCTGTGTCCCACAAACCTTGATCAGCAGTTTATCCAACCAGTAATCGTTAATAGGTTGACCTCCAGGAGGGACCCCTTGTCATTCCACAGCATCTGCTGAGGGAAGCCTGCACAGTCCATCCAGTGGATGGCAGGCCACTTTGATATGCAGGGGCTTGAGGATGGCAGGTGTGTATATATTAGTCTCTCTAGTATTGTGCATGTGAAGGTGGGGCAACATTTTTCTGGGCTTTTGACTTGATCTTCCATCTGGTTTTGTCCTCTTGGAGGCCTGTTTCATTTAAAACACTTAATCTGTTTTTCTGCAATCCAGGGACCCAATTACTGTCCCAGACTGAAGCCCTTCTCTAGGCTGGGTACTTGGTTGACGTCTCACATTAAGTGATCTCTTCTCTTTCAGATTTGACGGCCGAGTGGTGGCAAAACTTCCTTTTATCCCCCTCTCCTATATCCAGGGCCTGTCCCATCGCAACCTGCTCGGGGAGGATTACACTGACTGCTCCTTCATCTTCCTCTACATTCTCTGCACCATGTCTATCCGACAGGTGAGTGCTGAGCTGCTTCCTATGGGTGGGGAATGGGGCAGGTATTGATCTGCCACCCAGTAAGGAGTAGCAAGCACCCAATAACCAATTTAGCACATGTAGTCTGTCTTTGATCTACGTTTGTTTGAAGCTTTCATGTTGACCTCTGGTTCCCATAGGCTTAGCTGTCAAAGGAAATGTAGTGCAGAAAAGTCTCACTTTGTAGGAGGTCTTCTCTCAGCCCATGGGGGGGAGACCTGGCTAAAATCAGCAGGATTACTCCAGGACATTCAGACTGAGCCAGTGGAAATAGCTTCCACCCTGCTATGTGTCTCCATGTAACTTTGTGGCTTGACAGGATCGTTGTTGGCAAAGAACAAGTTGCATGATTCACTGACTTCACTGCAGGCTTCAGAAGATGCCTGGATTGCTAAGAAAAAGTCCTTACTAAAAACCTGTCAGTGCAGTCATATCAGAAAGAAAAACACTCCTCCTTTAGTGTACTCTGAGGTCATGTCTACACTGCATGTGGAAGTGAGCCATCTAGCCCAAATTCTCAGATTCATGGTAGTGGGACTTGTGCTAGCACTCTAAAAATGGTTCTGTGTAGATGTTGTGGCTCAGGCTCTGAAGCCAGCGGGGTGGGCTTGAGACCCTGAGCTGCAACATCAAAGCACGATCTAAATGCTATTTTTAGAGCATTAGCCTGAGCCCTGCCAGCACAAGTCTGTGGACACAGGCTGGGACGCTCATTCCCAGATGCAATGTAGCCTTAATGTAAGCTGCCTTTGTTCTCCAAAAGGCTCAATTTGTGTCCAAAAAATCTGCTGAGGCAGCAAGGAAGTCTGGGGTCAAACCTGCATTTTTCTCAAGTGCCTTATTCTCTTCCCTCCCCTTGCCTGCTTAATACATGACTCTCTCTGAAGGCTGAATAGCTTTCCCTTCAGAGTATTGTCTATTCCCAATCACCAGTGGGTGAAGTAATTTATAGAATCGGGGTCTGGTGTGACAAAATGCAAGGCCACGTTAGAGAACACTGTTAAGAATTTACCACCATGGTGGACTGTGACCCATACACAGGCCCTTCTGCTACAAGGGAGAACTGCTGGCCCTGAAAATGGGAAGTTTCTTTGTGGTTGAGAATAGCTTGCCACAGTGATGCCATCATTTTATCAGCTGCAATGCACTGAAGCAGGGATAACGGTGAAGTAGCTGTTTAACTGACAGTGGATCTGCTATTAGCACATGACTAGGTTGGATGGAGTGTCAGTCTGTGTTGGTGAGGACCAGTGGGACTTGAGTGCTGCTGAAAGTGTGTTCTGCTTGTTGATTTTCCTCCAGGGAGTGGTGAGAGGCTAATAGACTCTGGAAGCTGGATTAATGCTGATGCACTTAGATGGTTCTCTATTTTTATCTTTCCTCTTGCTTTGGTTCACTTCCTGAATGCTTGCTGCTTATTTCTCCTTGATCTGCAGATCTCTGTTGCTTTTTCCTCTGGAGGTGCCAAGGGACTTAGAAACCCTTACAGCAGGTCAGCAGAGGAAATGACTCTTGTGCCAACTTCTAACAGAGGGGTCAGGATGGGCTTGGTGAAGTGGCTCAATAATAGAATGAAAGCTCCTTTACCCCAGAATAAGTGCATGGATCAAACAGATTCTCTCCCTCCTTCTACAGCAGGATCCTTCATTAAATCAGATCTGTGTCCAGTCTTGTGTAAAGGAACAAGGCAAACAAATTAGCAAAAGCCATCAAGTCCACCGACCCCTTATTAAATGCTCTCAGCACAGCAGGTCTTGTCAAGTGCTCTTTCCCTGGCCTGGAACTAGAACAGCAGGTGCTGTTGTGTGCTGAGGGGTTTGTCTAGTTTTTGTGGTTTCTGTGTCACCCACTGGGAAGCTTTTGTGTTGTTTCTACAGTGACTGCCCCCCAGTGAATCTCTCACCAGATAGCAAGTGCCTTGCAGGGGAAACTCTCCTTGCCACCAATTTGTGTTACAATGTGGCTCTACGCCTTTCTAGTCTAACACAATAGACTTTCTTTTGCACCCTTGAAAGGCCACGAGTAGTGAGAGTGAAACTCAGATTGTGCTGGCTGCTGCATGTCTGCTCTGCACCAGTTGGATACTTGGGGAATTCAGTGGCTGAAAAATCCCAAGTGGCTTTTTTGTAAGTTTTTAAAATAAAAAATTCCCATGGTAAATTCCAGTTTTGACTATTTCCTGCTGTCACCTTCTGCAATGAAACAGACTAGAAGCAGCACGAAATGAATGGCTAGGCATAAACACTCAGGTTTTCAATGCTAGGTGTTCAGCTTGTTCAGTCCAACAAGCCTTCAATAGAAAATTCCAGTAAGGGTCTTTACTTGTGACAGAGAGTCCCTGTTAATGGCCTGGTGGGGGGAGTAGCACCATTGCCTTGGAAAGGGTTTTTCAGCTGTGTAGCTTCATATGCTGCAGCCTCTCTAGTTTAACACTTTTTTTTATTCCCTGTAGAACTGATGTACTTTGTACTCCTAGCACTACATTAAAAGAGGTAGCTGCTCCTTTCATACTCAAGTCTTTACCTCTAAACTGTAGTTTAAACTGGTCCCCATAGAGCTGGGAGGTGGAGGAACCCCTCTACATTCCATGCGGGCAATAGCCCAAGAGAGGAGCTGCAGAGAGGTGGGGCGCTGGAATTAAATAGTGGGAGAACAGGGGAATATCCCAGAGTCCATTGTGGGGGAGCGGTGTGGGAGAGAATCCCCAGAACTCATTAAGTTGAGGCAGAGCCTGGGTTTAGTTCAGGGTGTGAGTGTGTCAATCTGCTTTGGGAGAGGACTAACTGGTGGGGATCAAGTGCTGCTGATTTAAACAGGCATTGCTTATGGGGTGGGGAGTGGTAGCACAGCTACTCTTCACCTTGAGGAAACTCCTCAAGCCATGCTCGACACCTTTTTGCCTGTGACCTGGGGCCAGCATCTCCTGAAATATCCAACTTGCAGTGAGTAACTTCCTCTGCACTGTTCCCATCTCCCCCTGCACGTAAATCCTGTCCAGTGGTTCCTCATGCCTTCCTGTTTGGAGAGAGGGCTGCTGCTGGGAGAGGCTTTCTACAGGCCATTGAGCTGCTGCCTTTCAGCTGAGGAAGTCTGCTGCTGAATTGGGTGTGATGCAGAATGTCAGTTATCTCCTTTGCCCCTCCTCCTGTTAGTGCACTAACAGCCTTCACCTGTCCTGTTTATCTTGAGTAATAAACCTTTATTACACAGAGGCTTGCCAATATTTAGTTTCCTTTTCACACATGCTTGAATTTTAGACCTGTCCTCGTCCTCTACTCAAGATCTGCTCCTGGTGGGAGTGGGGGCCAGTGATTCCCCCTGCAGACAGGAGAGGGAGCACATCTTTCTTTCCCACAAACTGTCCTGATTATTGTGGGGCAGGAGGTCAGTCCTGGTTAGTTTTCTTCTCCTAGGGCACTTAAAAGTTTTGCACAGAAATGACATCCATTCTCTCTGCACTGATTGTGGGATGGAAAGGATTCAAAGAAAAAGACAAGGTGGTGGGAGACTAGTGTAATACAAATGTTCTTGCTCCCCTGCTGCTTCTTTCTTCCGCTCCCATCGGTAACAGTGTGCTGCCCACAGCATCCTTTTTAGAGAAGAAGAGTGTGTGCTATGCCGTGGGAACCCAACATGGTGCAGGCCTCCATAACACTTTTATGGCATGTCTATACTTACCTCCGGGTCCGGCGGTAAGCAATCGATCTTCTGGGATCGATTTATCGCATCTTGTCTAGACGCGATAAATCGATCCCGGACGTGCTCGCCGTCGACGCCGGTACTCCTGCTCCACGAGAGGAGTACGCGGAGTCAACGGGGGAGCCTGCCTGCCACGTGTGGACCCGCGGTAAGTTCGAACTAAGATACTTCGACTTCAGCTACGTTATTCACGTAGCTGAAGTTGCGTATCTTAGTTCGAAGTGTGGGGTTAGTGTGGACCAGCCCTTAGTCCCAGCATCAGTGTCTGGGACCTTCTGTGCAATTTTAACATCACTGTCTTGCAAAAATCATTTATCAGCATGATGCTAGCTACATGTCTGCTGGAGAGAGAACTCTACAATTGTGGGAAAGGAAAGGCTGGCCAGAGAGTGTGTAGTATTCGGATTGGTTATAGTTTGGCTCAGGTATAGTTGGCTCAGGTCAACATGTCTGTTTGCCTCTACTCTCATAATCCGTCCTCCCACCAGTGAGATCTGTCTGACCAGCTAGAACGTAGAGGGCTGAGTGATGACATCGACAAGAGTCGGGAGGATGCAGTGCAAGCTTCCCCTTTTGCTCTATCAGTGCACCTCAGTCCTGATCCTGCAGTACCCCCTACTGGTCAATTGAGTCCCTTTTCAATAGCTGTTCCCTTTCTTTATTAATATCTGGAGCAAATAGTACTGGGACAAGAGACACAAGATGGAGCCTCCCACAGCAAAATGTTTTTGTGTTATATACAGATCTTACTCCTAAAATGATACAACACATCTCAGTGTGTTCCCTGTCTAGCAACTATCCCACAAGTAGGAAGGTGAAGCAAGAACTTATCAATTTACTTAGGGACCTTCCACTGTGTTTAATGTTTTTGTTAGTTAAACCAGTGGTCTCCAAAGTGGGCTGCGAAAGAGGATCCTTTGGGGTGCGCGGCAGGAGGCGCACCACCGGAGCAGCGCCACTTCCTCCCCCCCCCCCCCGGCAGTTTGGCCGGGAGTCCGAGCGGCTTTCTCGCTCTCTCCTCTCCCCTCCCCCCGCCCCTCGGCAGTTCGGCCGGGAGCAGGGGGTGCGTGCTCAAAAATTTTTTACTGATGGGGTGCGCGATCAAAAAACTTTGGAGACCACTGAGTTAAACTATAGTGTACATGTATCTCATCACAGGTGGGGGTGGTAGCATCTCCTTTTATTAAAGTTCGCCAGTATTTCCTGTTACAAGGCCCTATTTTTAGTTATTGATAACCTGGCCAAATTTTAACCCTTTGGGCTGAAATTTTCCATGCTATTAGTTACCTCTGGTAGTGCAAGTGGCAGAGGTCTGTGGGTTGGATCTAAAGGTTCCAACCTTGCTGATGAATCATATGGGCATCAATATAATGCCACATGATGGAATTTTTTTTTCAGTTTGCTTTTTTAAAAACCCAGGAGATTACACACAGGTTTTTGTGTTAAAAGAACATTACTAAAGTTGCAAATCCAAGCACTCAGAAGTTAGGAAATGCCAGAATTAAGGTTGCCTGTGCATATGTGTTATGATACAGCCCAGGGATCAGCAACCTTTGGCACGCCGCCCACCAGGGTAAGCCCCTGGCGAGCCGGGACGGTTTGTTTACCTGCAGCATCCGCAGGTTTGGCTGATCGCAGCTCCGATGGCCACCATTCCCGTAGCCCCCATTGGCTTGGAACGGTGAACCGCGGCCAGTCGGAGCTGCGATCGGCTGAACCTGCGAACACTGCAGGTAAACAAACCGGCCCAGCCTGCCAGGGGCTTTCCCTGACAGGCTGCGTGCCAAAGGTTGCCAATCCCTGATACAGCCTTTAATCACATGACCACTCGCTGTTTTTTCCACAGGACGCTGCCTCATTCAGTGAACAGGATGGACAGTGCTCACTTCATTAGCAACTACTTACCATGTTTTCTCATTGTTCAATGCGTGGCCCCAGGCCTTGGTTACTCTCACTAGTCAAACCCCGTTCTGAAGACAGAACTATTAATCTCCTCAGGGGCTTTTCTCTCATACTCAACACTACACCAGCTTTGTGCTTTAATAAACATTACTGATCTTATTTTCACAATACTCTTGTGAGATGAGGGGGTATTAGCCCCATTTTACAGATGGGTAACTGCAGCCCAGAGAGATTAAGATCAAAAGTATTCACTAATCTTAGGTGTCCAGTTTGAGATGCTGAGGACCTGATTTGCAAAGTACTTAGCATTATACGGCTTTATATGTTCAGAGCACAGCTCCCATTTACTTCAGTTGCAGCTATGAGTGCTCAACATGTCTGCAAATCATAAGAACATAAGAACGGCCATATTGGGTCAGACCAATGGTCCATCTAGCCCAATATCCTGTCTCCTAACAGGGGCCAATGCTAGATCCTTCAGCATGAATGAACAGAACAGGTCACTTTATCAAGTGAGCCATCCCCTTTTGCCTAGTTCCAGCTTCTGTCAGTTGGAGGCTTTGGAACACCTAAAGCATGGGGTTGCGTCCCTGACCAGCTTTGCTAATAGTCTTTGATGGACCTATCCTCCATACACTAATTCTTTTTTGAACCCAGTTATACTTTTGGCCTTCACAACATGTGGCAATGAGTTCCACACGCTGACTCTGTGTTGTGTGAAGAAGTACTACTTCCTTTTGTTTGTTTTAAACCTGCTGCCTATTCATTTCATGGGTGACCCCTGATTTTTGTGTTAAGTGAAGGGATAAATAACACTTTTTTCCCCACACCATTCATGATTTTATAGATCTCTATCCTATCCCCTTAGTCATCTCTTCTAAACTGAACAGTCCCAGTTTTTTTTAATCCGTCCTCAGATGGAAGCTGTTCCATACCCCTAACTAATCCTTTTTGTTGCCCTTCTCTGTACTTTCTCCAGTTCTAATATATCCTTCTTGAGATGGTGTGATCAGAACTGCATGCAACATTCAAGGTGTGGGTGCACCATGGATTTATATAGTGTCTTATATTTTCTGTCTTCTTATCTATCCCTTTCCTAATGGTTCCTATTATT